CAGGCAAGCTGGGAACGACTGAGTGGACCGAAGCAGTCACTGCAAGCGATCCGTTCACCACTCACATGAACTTGGATTCAAAAAACTTTGAAATGATCAAGTTTATTTTCCATGAAACTTGTGACGTTTTCTGGAAACCAAAGATTTTCGTTTAATTGTTTTGTTTAAGGCAAGACTTTGTCAAACTTTTTATTTTTACATGTCTCTAATAGTTTCCATGTAAAAACAACTTTTTACTCGGCTTGCTGTTATATTAAGTTAGGGTTATTGTTGGGGAGTTCTCTTGTTAATAATAGGTTAGAGTTATTTCTGGGGTGTTCCCGTTGGCTCGGCCGCCGATCGAGAACTCGGTTATGATTGTGTTATTCGCCTAATTCTGCTGAACTAAGTTGACTAAAAATTTCGCCACTTTTCACTTTACACGACAGTGTCGTATTCAGTATATTTTGTTCTCTAGCCTGCCTAGCTGGAAACACTTGTTTTAAAGCAATATTTAATCAAATTCCCAATAAATTACATTTTGGCCGCTAGATGGAGGGCCGAAAAACGTCCGAGATCTGAGATCTCGGACGTTTCTCCGCCGCCGCGGTATGGCTTACAGTAAGCTTGTTCAGATGAGACAACAAAAACTGCTTACTTGTTATTGGTATTCATCTTATGTTGTCCACTTTGTCTTCAGCTGCTGAACTGTTAACTTTAGTTCTTTTCATTCATCTTTTTGCGTGTTTAGCCGCCTACACAGGAAAATGTCTGGCACCGAGCAGTTGTTTGAATCTGACTATGACGCGTACGACGAGTTTGATTGTGGAAATAATGATGAAGAAGAGAATGAAGGAATTGTGGTAAAAGAAAAAATGATTCGGAGAATGATTACGATGCTTTGAAAAATGGCGATCAATCAGCAGGAAATGGTAAGTGGAGAGCATTTGATACTATTAACTTTATTCATAAACTTTAAAATCAACAGAATCGGAAATCAAAACTGAAGAACCGGATGAAACGTCAATTGATATGTACGATGATGAGTTTCATTTTATTATGGAAAAATATTTTGCTGCTACTGCTAAAAATGTCAATGAAGGGAATGAGGCATTGAGTAAGAATGAAGAATCGGAGAATGACTCTGATGCCACTGAAATTGATGATGAAGATTATGAAGCAGTCAGTGGTGGGTGGGCAGTGAGTGGATTTATTCTTATTCTTTTGTGTAACACTTTTCATTCTGCAAAGCCTCAGCAAACTGAAGAAGTGGTCAATGGAAGCTCGAGCAATGTATCCGTTGAGCGGGAGCCAAATTGTTTTCAAGGAAAAACTAAAAAGCACAAGTGTCAAGAGTGCGACAAAAGCTTTGACCGTCCATCTGATCTCGAACGACACCAAAGGGTGCACACTGGCGTTCGACCGTACAAGTGCACAGTGTGCTCCAAATCATTCACACAGACAGGT